GTGCACTCTCTGTCTCTCTCTCGATAATTAAATTAAATTAAATTAAGAAATTAAATTAAAAATAAATAAAATTCTGTGGCCCAAGGAACAAAGGAATGTTATTGGGCAGAGACTAACAGGGTCTGCCCCAGCTAGCATGATTTGTCTCAGATTTACTGGGACCATCCTGGTTTTATTATTATTATTATTTTAATTTATTTTTTAAGCTTTTTGAGTGTTTTTGAATGTTTTTTTTGAATTTTTATTTTATTTTATTTTATTGAGAGAGAGAGACAGAGACAGAGACAGAGCAAGAGTGGAGGAGCAACAGAGAGAGGGGGAGACACAGAATCCGAAGCAGGCTCTAAGCTATGCACCATCAGCACAGAGCCCAACACAGGGCTCGAACCCACAAACCTCGAGATCGTGACCTGAGCCGAAGTTGGATGCTCAACTGACTTAGCCACCCAGGTGCCCTCCATCCTGGTTTTAAAATGGAAAGTCTCACAACCCAGGAACACCCCCCCCCCGCCCCCGGCTCAGGGCAAATCAAATGGGTTGGTCATCCTAATTCTAGTCTTCCAAGACCTCCTGAATTAGAATTTCTTAAGGGTAAAATCCAGACCCAAAAAATGACTTTTAGCACTTTCCCCCAAAGACTATAATGTATGCCAAAGTTTGAGAATCACTGGGCTTAAGTTTCTAAGTCAAAACAGAGGACTCATGGTTGACCTATTCCCTGCCAACCTCAGAACTGGAGGAAGTCCCAGTTGCAGGAATGTGGGTAAAACTTGGGGCTGGGGGCTCTCACAGGATCAAACTGAACCTGAACCCTAGAGGGGCCTGGGATCTTCAAACTCCATCCTCAGCCGGCTCCTTGTCCCTAGGAGAAGGAGCAGTCTAACTTAGAGTCCCCTGCTCTGGGTGGTCTTGAGCCCTGAAGTCCCTCTGTCAGGCCCTTTGTCACCAAGCCTGTAAAGTGTGCTGAATATGTGAATGAATGAATGAATGAATGAGGAGGCTGCCCTGTTTTTTTTTGTTTAGAGAGAGAGAGATTGAGGATGCAAGCAAGGGAGAGGAGGGCCAGAGGGAGAGAGAGAGAAAGAATCCCAAACAGGTTCCATGTTCAGCTCGAAGCCTGACGTGGGGCTCCATCCCACAACCGTGAGATCATGACCTGAGCCAAAATCAAGAGTCGGGTGCTCAACCGGGTGAGCCGCCCAGGTGCCACAAGGAGGCTGCACTCTTGACCTAAAGACAAACTCTGGCCCGAACCAACCCTTGTGGCAGCCAAGTGCCCAGAGCCAGAAATACCCTGCCTCATCTGTGAGCTGGCAGGACCCTGGGTGAGGTGGGAGTGGGGTCCAACTCTTCCCCAGGACACAGAATGACTGCACCCTGTCTCCATGGCCCAGGCTTCCATGGGAAGCGGTGTGGCCCCCCTTGCCCCCCGCATGGTATGCTGGGTAACTTTCCGATGGTTTGAGATCATTACTCATCATTAGGAGTCCTGGTGTCTGGAGTTTTCCAGGTGATCAAAGCTTCTCTGTCTGGAGCAGCCAGGCAGGCCTGGTGTCTGTCACCAGTAATCCCCTGGCCTCTCCAGGCAGACAGTTAAGTAACCCAGGAAGGAGGGGATTTGGTTTTTAAGCTCATATAATTCGGCTTGGCATCCCAGCATGCAGGCAGTGACTGTAGCCCCTCATTGAGGACGTCAGGCCTGGCTAGAGGGGTGTGGGCTGCAGGGAGCCTCAGCTCGGCTTCGTGCAGGGTTATTTTAGAGCCCCTGGGCCCCTCCCGCCCTGCTCTCCTCAGGAGGGCTGCAGGTGGGAAGGAGAATCTGCTGACACAACACCGTACCTCCATCACCCCTCCTGGGCATCTGTTGACCCTCCCCACAGACTCCCCTCCAGGCCCCATCCCTGCCCCTTGCTTCCCCAGAACAGGAGCTCCCAGAGGGCCCGTTTTTGCTTGCTAGTCTCTCTGTCTGGGGTCAGGGTCCAATTTGCCTCCCCCAAGCCCTCAACATTCCCCACAATCTGTGTCATTGCACAGGAAACGTATTGCAATATTTGTGCAGGTTCTGACGTTTCAGTAATAATCACAAATGCCTTCAGTGATGGGGGAAAGGAAGGATGCTTAACACAATGGTGTTTGCTAATTTTAAGAAAAGATTGGGATGAAAAATTTTGGCCTATTTTTTTCCGATTTGGTCTTTATGCAAAAGAGCTTGCTCATGCCTAAATCGCACAGCCCATGACTCCTGTCGACATAGAAGGCCATCTGAGTGAAGAGTAAACCCGAGGAGCTTATTAGTCTAGGAAATAGAAATGGCTTTGCTAAATAGTTTATATAAATGTCCAGGTACTGGCTTCATGAGGGGTCGTTTAAGGAAATTCATGTTGAGGGCGGGGATAGGATATTTCAACTGGGGTGATATCAGGCCCTTCCTGGCACGCTCTCAGGGCCACCGTGCTGGCCTGCCGACTCTGCGGGACTCTCTTTCTCGAGGATGCTCTGTCCCAGCTGAGTTCTGTGCCCGGTGGAGCGGTGGATGGTGCGAGGCAGACGTTACCATGCCCCAGCATGCTTTGGGAGCCCTCTTGGCGCAGGCTGAGGCCTCTGGGGTTGGAGAAGGGCCAGCTCCGCCAGGGTGCTGGGGGGGCGCCTGCATTTCTCCTGTCCAAGGACCACTCCTGCGTCTTTAGATCCACTCCCACCAAGATGTTTTACATATTTTAATTAAAGTGCCGCCCTGGGCTGGCAGGACCTCTGATAGATGGCTCCGATCCGAGTTGCAGGGCGGCAGTGGTGTGAAACATGGCATCCCACCATACGCTGCTGCTCTAGAGAGTGCTTTTGGCTCCCACCCCTGGAGGCGGGTCCGCTCGGGTTCCAGGAGGGGAAGGGAGCTCGGTAGGCGGTGGGCAGGTGGTAAGCGCCTGCGGGGGTGGCCGAGGCGGGGCTCAGGGATGGGAGAAGAGTTCAGGTAGGAAATGCCATGGGCAGTGTCTGAGGGCCAGCTGGCTGGTGGGCTGTGGGTGAGTCCGCTCTTGCAGACACACAGCCCCGTGGACACTCCTTATCAGTGTCAAATTATGACAAATGGCGATGGGTAACAGTTGCTGGGTGGCAGCTGCCACGTCTCAGAGGGAAGCAGGTATTTTTAGCACACTGCGCCTTGGGGCTCTGGCTCCAGGTTAATTAATCATGGTGAACAGCCCTGAGTTTGGTTCTTGATCCTGGTCCCTGCCCCCATCCCAGCTTTGTCCCCATTCCTCAGACTGGAATACCAGCTCCCGGGCTGGAAGGTGCACACAGCCCACCCTCGATAGCCCTCACGCTGCATGGGGATACACTGGGGATACCACCCTATATGTCCCCACAGTGGGGGCCTTCCTTTCTCTTCCTCATTGCGCCCACTCACCTGGGCCTTTTAAGTTCCTCCAGCCCGTTCCTGCCTCAACGCCTTTCCACCGGTGCTTCCATTTTGACCATCCCTGGCAGGCATTCTCCCCGTCCTGTCTCACGCCACGTGCCCTCCCTCACAAAGGCCCTCCCTGAGCGCCCCCGCCCCAGGCCCTCTGTCACTTTGCCCTGTTTACTTCCTTCGGAGCACTTAGCACCAGCCCAAATCACCTTATTTATTGATTGCTTCACTTTATTGTCTGTCTCCTTCCATTGAAATGCCAGTGACTTGAGAACAGGGGTCTTCTCTGTCTTATTTGTTGGCTTAGTGTACGTAGGACAGGTACTCAGCGAATGTCCCCGAATACGCGCCCAGGTGGCTGGATGAGTGGAAGGCTGGCCAGGTGGATGTCCACAGGGAAGAGCCTCTATGGGATTTTATGATCCACTGTGTTAAGATTATTATTCTCGGTAGAAGCGCATCTGGGGAGACACTGGCTGTGTAGCCCACATCCTTACCCAGGCCAGCAGCCACCAAGGGAGGCATAGGCCCAGGGGATTCTGGGAAAAGAATATTCTAGATAGGACCAACCGCTGTTCTCTCTGCTATAGAAATGTCCAACCACATGCTCTTTGGTATTTGTGAGAGATTGCTCTAATTCTGTTTTCTTTTTTTCTTGGGGTGGGGACAGATAGACCAGTTTTCAGGAACTCCTAGAAGACTGTTTCTCCATTTTGCCTGAAAGCTGACATGAGTAGTTCATTTGGGGGAATTATGCGTGGTCCTTTCTCTATTTTCTCTTCAGAAGTTGTATGTAAAAAACTTTTTTTATACATTTTTTTTAATGTTTATTTTTGAGAGAGAGCGAGAGAGAAAGAGGGCGAGCAGGGAAGGGGCAGAGAGAGAGGGAGAGGGACACAGAAACCAAAGCAGGCCCCAAGCTCTGAGCCATCAGCACAGAGCCTGACACAGAGCTTGAACTCACAAACGGTGAGATCATGACCTGAGTTGAAGTCGGAGTCTTCACCGACTGAGCCACCCAGGTGCCCCTCACTGTTTTCTCTTCAAATATAAGCATTCTCTGTGGAAGCCACAGTTGGTCACCTATCTTCCCCATCCCACTGGGGAACAGAACCCCAATGTAGTCCTTGTATTGGGACACCCGTGCTTCAGGGAGGCCAGGCTCAGCCCCCACCCAGCAGGGGACCCGTGATTAGTCTGAGCCATCTGCAAGCACTCCACCCCCAGCCAATGCTTGGGTTAGAAACAGGGCTGTGAATGTGACCCTAGCTGATGACTAATGGGGATGTGAGGAGCTTCAGAGGGTTCCCTCACTTTGAAGGGCGTACATGAAGGAGTGCACCTGTGTCGTGTCCCTTTTCCCAGTCTTCAAAAGGATCCAGGTTTAGGGGCATCTGGGTGGTTCGGTCGGCTGAACGGCCAACTCTTGACTGTGGCTCAGGTCACAACCTCACAGTTTGTGAGTTGGAGCCCCACATCGGGCTCTGCGCTAACAGTGAAGAGCTTGCTCTGGATTCTCTCTCTCCCTGTCTCTTTTCTGCTTATGCGCATGCACGCTCTTTCTCAAAAGAAATAAATAAACATGAAAAAAAGAGAGAATCGAGTTTATTTCACACGCAGAGGCAGAGGCATGGGGTGGGGACACATGGCGGAGGCTGGGGAAGGCTGATGCTCCATGAGATTTCCACTCTCAAGAGGCGGGCAGGGCCCAGCAGGAATGTGCTCTGACCCAGTGGTGCCCAACCCTGGACCTCTTGAAACACGCCCACTCCTGAGCCCCTACGCATTTGGGTTGTCTTATTCTCAGGGGATGGGTCTCTGTGGGGCTGATACCCCACCTGCCTGTCCTCCATTATTCTGAGACTTGGGAGCCTATGAACTGCAACAGACCAGGGGCAGGGAAACCCTCCTGACAGTGGTCAAGAAATGCCTTCCAGGAGATGCTAGAAGCCCTTGCCCTTGACATCTTGAAAGGAGCAGATAGATTTGCCTTCTTCCTTTCATCTGACTGGAAGGAAACTCGTGAGGAAGGCACAGGCCTGGACGATAGACCTTAGGGGAGGAGAACATTCAGAGCGTGTGCACATCGACTCGTCCCTGCTGAGGATGCTCCGAAGGTTCAGGAGGCCACCAAGCCTGGGGTCTTCATTTGTCCTCAACCTCTGCTGAGGCTCATGTGAAGCAGTCCTCCCTGGTCGGTGCTGAGAAGCAATGAACCGAAAGCTCATTATAAAGCACCAGGGAAATCGAGAAATTGCCATTTCTTCTTCACTTTTGCTACTTTTCGTTCTTAGTTCTGGTTAGGGCTTCCACCATTCCCTGTGGGAGACAAAGATAAAGAGGCAGAGAATCAAAATCAGAGAGAGAGAGAGAGAGAGGCACAAACAGGAAAAAAAAAAACAAAAAACAAAAAACAACCAAACCACTAAAAAAATAACAAAAACAAGAAGACACACGTTCTTCCTTTTTTCTGATTACAAAAATTTTCATTGAGAACCTACTATGTGCCCGACCTGTGCACACACGCCTAATGAATACACCACAAGAGAGCAGCCTGTTTTTATCTCCCCAGCCCCCAGCTGGATTTTAGGTAGGGGAATAAAAGCCTGCTGTTCCTGCGCAGGCCAGTAGGTGCCGCCATGTCAGAGGGAAAGCTAGGGGAGTGGTGGGATTCCAAGGCCACCTCTGAACATAAATCCCATTTCATCTAGTTTTCTGAGAGCCATTATATGCAGGGCACCAGGCGGGACATTTGTAGGTGTGTAGGATGAGAAATGCACGCTCCCGGTCCTCAGGGAATTCAGGGTGCCATTGGAGGCTGGAAGGACAAAGTCCTAGGTCACAAAAAAAGGGAGAAGGTGGTAAATGCCTCAGGACTGGCTTAAAGGAAAGGGCTGTGTGCCTCTGAGAACCAGAGACTGCAGAGGAGCACTTACTCACACTATCCCAGAGGGAACAGGCTCAGAGAAGGGAGGCAGGTGATTGCCCTGTGGTCACCCAGCAGTTTCAGACTCTGATCTCCTGACTGCTAACAATACGGTGCTCTTTTCACCAAATATTCTGTCTCAATAATTGTAGCTGCTGCCCTATCCTGAGGTCCAAAATTCTACCCTAGTGTAGCCATAAACCTCCCTGCAAAATGCCTTCTCTGGCACCTACGTCTTGGAGATGGCAGCCACCCCCACCATGGGTCCTGTGGTGCTCATGAGAGCTGACAGTGTGCACCTCTACCCAGAGAGATCGTGTTGGTAGCTGGAAAGCAGCCATCGTGGGAGTAGTCACACCATTGGCAACAGTTGTAAATTGGAGCCTCCCCTCCACTACCCCTCTGCCCAGGGAGCTGCACACTACTGACGTGTATCCCTACTTTGTAGATAAGAAAAATGAGGTTCAGGGAAGTGAGGTCATTTGCCAAAGAGACACAGCTTATAGGTGGTGGCCCGCCAGAGGTCTGGCGGGTTCTAGGGTGCTCAGAGATGATAACGTCAAGAGGACCCAGAGCCACTTGGATGCGGAGGGGTCTAGTCTGATCCCTGGTTTCTTGTGTGGGTGCTACCCCATGGTGGTGTCATTAACTTGATGGCAACATCAAGCTTTGGACAGATTGGATCTGAGGCACGCTGTTGGAGACATGTTCTGACTTGGAGGCCAGGAGAGAAGTCTGGGAAAGACATCAAGATACACAAGATGGAGCCTGTTCTTGACCAAACTGGCACACGCTAGTTAGGAGCATTTTCCCTTCTTATAGGATTCAGGTAAGACGTGTGAGATTCACCCTTCTGTATGAGTTTTCTCATCTGTGTCAACGTTTCAGGCATGATCCAGCAGCGCAGGGAGTGGGGCCCCCGGACTCTTCTCACACTTGTTCCCTGGTAAGCACTCAATAAGCACTTGTCAAATAAATGAATGAGTGACCTGATTTCACCCTGCACATAACTGAATCAGCACTGCTGTGGACCACACATCAAAACCTCTTAAGTACATGCCTCACAACTTTCAAGATTATCTAGAATTCTGGCATCGTTTTAGCAGTATGGATTTGGGATCAGAAATTACTTTTTCTTTCTTTCTTTCTTTCTTTCTTTCTTTCTTTCTTTCTTTCTATTTATTTATTTATAGCATTTTAGAGGTAGAAGTGGGCATATTTCTTACAACGTCTTTCTGGAATTTACTGTGCCATTGAGACCTGGAAGGACAAGGTGCTAGGTCAGAAAAAGAGGGTGAAGGTAGTGAGTGCCTCAGGAGAGGTTTAAAGGCAGGGCTGTGCAGATCTGAGAACCTTGGCGATGTCAGAGAAGCCGGTTTCCCTGCGAGGTACTGAAGTCCAGAGATCGATGTGTGGGAGGGAGAGAACCCATACCTGGCAGCCCCCCGGGGCCTGGCCTGGCCTGCCTTGCTCTGGCCTGTTTACTGCCCTGCTCTGGGCCTCGGTTTGTCCCTCGGGTACACGGAGAGATCAAGCTCAGGTTTTGGAAGGGTGATTGAAGAGTTGATGAAGATCCATGTAACAGGAAGACAATTTGGGTAGATGAGCAGACAAAGCCCTGGATAACCAACCAAAGAAGCTACAATATGCAAATGAATGGATTGTGGCTCTCTCCTCCTGGTTGGCTGGAGGGGCCCCGATGTCACAATGCATGGGGTTTCTCCACTCCAAATGATTGTGTCTCTAGCCCCCCAAATTCCCTGACCAGACGGGTCTCTTAGCTCCCTCTCTTTGTCCCCACGGGAAGAGAGACCATGGAACCACTCTATCGGGCTGGGTCCATCCTCATGAAGGTGAACACTTTACAAGGGAAGAAGATGGTGGAGAGCGGCCTCCAGTCCGGAGACTTTTCCCTCCCTCAGTCGTGGCCTTCCTGCTTCCCGCCGCCAGCGGACCTGGAGATCCTGCAGCAGAAGGTGGCCGGGGTGCAGCGGGAGCTGGCGGACTTCAAGAAGGAGGCGCTGCAGGCCATCCGTGACCTGGAGGTCGCCTTCTGCGAGCTGAATGGGGCGCTGGCGCAGCAGGAGGAGCAGGCGGCCCGCGTGAAGCAGCGGCTCAGGGAGGAGGAGGACCGCGGCGTCGTGCGGAATAAGGTCCTCACCTTCCTGCTTCCCCGCGAGAAGCAGCTCCGGGAGCACTGCAGGCGGCTGGAGCGCATGCTGCTGGTCTCCAACCGCGACGCGCTGGCCAGTCCCAGAAAGATCCAGGCAAACTGAGGCTTCCTTGCAGCTGAGCGGCCAAGTGGAAGATTCTTTTTTTCTTTTTTTTTTTTTTAATGGAGGGGCCAACCTAAGTCCGTCTCCATTTGCTACCCTTTCCCCATTCCCATTGCTTTCCTTCCACCTCAATAACACCTTGCTGAGAGGCGAAAAGACCCCAGTATGTTCTTTAGGTGAAGCTCCCGTTCGCCCAGCATCACAGGAGGCACCCAATCCTCAGTCTTTCAGACACCTGTAACTTTCACCGTTAACTGTTTTCCTGTTTGTCATGGTAATATTGCTCAAATGTATAACATGATTTTTTTTTTTTTTATCTTCTTAAACCGATGTGTTGAACAGATTTACCTTTCTTTTAATGACTCAAGGCTCTCCTGGTCGTTACTTGCTGCATGCTCTACCGAGGGGGGGGTGGGGATTGTTCTCCCGTGCACGGATTGGCCTCCGATTACTTTTGTAGTTCTTATCCTCGTCCAGTGGGCTCTTCTGCCCGCTTTCCTCGTTAGACTGCCATAACTCGCTTTTCTTTGCTGCCTGTGCCCACCTGTCCCTCCTCTGCGCTTCGTCTGCCGTCTGGCCAATCAGATCGACAGAGCTTATTGGGCTCAAATGGGCGGGGTCCTAAGGGCTTAGTGCGCAGATGCACATAGACGTGCTAAGACTCCATCCCCACGAAGTGGGTTATGAAGCAGTGTCGCTGGCTTTCACGTTTGACCCACGGAGCAAGAATTGTTAATGGCGCCCAGGCGCGTTATCAGGCAGTGTGCGCACCCCATCCCACCTACTTCTACAGGCACCCTTGGAAGCAAGTGTCACTTCCCCACTGTGCACAGGGGGAGGCGGAGCTCAGGAAGGGGAGTCCTTCACCCCCGGTCTCCATGCTAGCAAGGGGCAGGACTACAGTTCACCTCCTGTCGTCCGTGGCAGTCATCATCCCGCTCCCCTTTGGAACCACATCAGGCTCTTCATGAACCTATTCTGGAGGATCCAGATTGTCACAGAAGTGACGTGGGGGTCCCTTAGCTGTCACCGTGCCTTTCGTTTCCAATGAGACTTTGTTTCAGTGAGTCACATAGGTTCTCTCTGGTCCCGCTCCCCCCCCCCCACCTCTCAAATGCTGCCATGCAATGGGGGTTCTCCCCTATGCAGCGGAAGCCGGGTGCCTGGAGGCCAGAGTCAGCACCTGAGCACAGCCAGGCCACTGTCCTCCTGGCTTGAGGCCCTGTCTGTCCTCCTGTGTCATAAAATCTCTCCCAACAAGATTTGCGCATCTGCAACCCCCACTGCTGGATGGCCCATCCGTCACCGTCCACCCTGAAGGGCTGTACCCGTATTTTAGCTTCAGGCCGTTTCTCCCTTGGAAGGTTTAGCTGAAGTAATAATAATGTAAATACTACAAATAATGTAATGTAATAAAGTAAATAATAATGTAAATAATGTAAAAGCTACTGCCACTAGCTTACAGTTATCAAGAATATGATGTATTCCAGGCACCAGGCTGGGCCCTTTGAAGGCAAGTACTAACTATAACCTTCACTTTGGGATTCTGAGGAAACCGAAGCTCACAGAGGAGAAGTAGGCCAAGGTCACACAGCTGATTAGTGGTAGAGCTGAGATCTGAGCCTGGGGACATCTAACTTCAGAGGCTGTGTTCATTTTTTTTTTTTTTTAATGTTTTTAATAGTTATTTTTTTGAGACAGAGAGAGACAGAGCATGAGTGGGGGAGGGGCAGAGAGAAAAGGGAGACACAGAATCCGAAGCAGGCGCCGGGCTCCGAGCTGTCAGCACAGAGCCCGATGCGGGGCTCGAACTCTCGGACCGTGAGATCATGACCCGAGCTGAAGTCGGACGCTTAATTGTTTGAGCCACCCACGTGCCCCAAGGCTGTGCTCATTTTAACCAATTTGTAGTATATGAGGAACTTTATGTGCTAAGGACTTGCTTCTTGAGTAGATGAAATGGGCATACTGAACTTGGTGAGGTGAGCTCTGTTTTGTGTGTGGGGGGGGCGACTCCTATGCCTTTAAATCTTCTGGGGGACGGCTGTTTGGGGGTGTGTACAAATGTATCTGAGAAGAAGGACTTGATTGGCCAAATATAAGAAGAGTTTAAAAAATCAACTGCTGGGTCACCTGGCTGGCTCAGTCAGTAGAGCATGGGGCTCTTGATCTCTGGGTCGTGAGTCCAAGCCCCACACTGGGCATAGAACCCACTTAAACAAAAATCCACTGTTTTGCACAAGAAAACTGGCCCCGATGCTAACTCATGTGGAAAAGGTTTGCGTCTACTGAAGGTTCAGTGTGTTAATCGGGCTGCTCAGAAACGACGGCGTTCGTGTGAATTCTGAGAAGAGATGGGGAGATGCTGTCCTGTGATGGCACCCCCAAGTCCACGCCTGGAAGGCTCTGTGCTTAGTTCTGGCCCAGCACTTTTCAGAGGGTCCTGGGCAGCCTGGAGTGTGCAAGGCAGGGAATCCCGAGGAGGGGGCATGATAAAGGGCCTGGGGACCTGGGTGGCAGATGTTTGAGGGGGACCTAGTCATGACCTTCTCAACGCTAGGTGTGGGGTTTCTGGGAGCTAATAAAGGTCACCCCTCTTTTCTCTGCCGCCATCAGGAACCAGTTGAGGGATTGACACAGGAGCACAGGCAAATGGAGACAGGATCACTTCTATCACTTTTTTTTTTTACTGATAAAGCTGATGGAGAAAGTGGTTTGGGGTCTGTGAGCCACGTGGGCTTGCTAGGACCTCATCCCTGCACATGATGCTGCCTCCGAGCACACGTGCTGGCAGGGGCGGACAGCTGCTTGTGTGTGTGTCACTGTGTGACCTCTCCACAGAGGGACAGCTGGAGAGAGAGGGAGGGCGGAGCTGTCCAAAGCCACCAATCGGAAAGTCCCGCCTTTCCTGGGGAGGGGAGTCAGGGAGGGGAAGAGGCAAGGAACGCCACTTGAGTGATAGTCCTTCTGTAATGAAAGAGGAATGGGGAGTAAGGGTGCCCCCCAACTAGTAAGAGAAGGGTTGGAATGGAAAGTTCTCTGGGACAGTACTAGCCACCAAAGATAGATGCTAGTCTGAAGCTAGCTGGTTTCAGTCCCACATAAGAAAAAAACCACATTGGGTGCTGTTTGTGTGCCTGTGCAGTAAAGCGTGTCTCAGCAGGTGCGGGATGCTCAAATCTCTCATGTTAAAAGAAAGGTCTGGCCCCTGACCGGCTCCTGGCAGATAACCTCTAAGTCCTTGCAATATGCTGTCTGATAAGACTGTCTTTGTTTATCTGGGGCCTTGGGCTGAGTCAGATAGTTCACGCTAGCAAGATGATCCATGGCGGGGCCGCTGGGCCAGGCTGTATCAGCTTGACCTCTGGAGGGGCTAGAGACTGAGTAAGGTCAACCATGGAGGTGCTCTGGGCCAGGTGATAAACCACCAGTAAAGACCCTGAACACCAAGACTGGGGTGAACCTCCGTGGCTGACAGTAGTTCATATGTGTTGTCACATGCTGCTGCTGGACAATTGCGTTGTCCCTACAGCCCCACTGGGAGGAGACAACTGGAAGCTTATGCCTGGTCTCTCCTGGACTCTGCCCTGTGCTCTTTCTACCTCTGCCAGTCTTTAATTGCATCCAGTGGTTGTAATAAACTGTAAGCATGTGTATAACGGCTTTCTTACTCTGCGAGTAGTTCTAGTGAATCACCGAACTTGAAGGTGGTCTCGGGGACCCATGACACCATGTCAGATGCACTTGACATTCCATCCACAATAACCTTGCAATCTAGGCACTATTATCCCTATGGCAGATGAAGAAACTGAGGTGTAGAAAGGTTAAGTAACTAGTCTAGGATATAGAACAGGACTCTAGGGCTCCCTCTCTTGACCACCATCCCACAGCAAAGGAAAGGACTTGCGGTGACAGGCTGGCCCCCTTTGCTGGAAGGTCCCATGGGGGTGGCCCCAAGGCCCTCCAGCTGCAAGATGAGTCATCCTGCAGTGATGATGAGGAAGAAGTGCTAGATAGAGGAAGAGGCAGGAAGCTCATGAATTTCCTGTGTTGGAGAGCTCAGGTGCACATACGTCCAGGTTAGGTTAGACAGGCATCCCGCCTGACGACAGGGTGAAAGTCTAAATGTCCTCTCACGGTTTTCTCTGCTGCCGGGTTTCAAGCTTGCTTCTCTATCGGGAGCTTTCAGCTACAGGCCATGGGATGCCCGTTATGCTGACTTCTTTGAGGAGCCTATTTTTTTCCCTGTAACAAGACATCTGAAGCAGATGATTGGTGTAGTAACTCCACCATGACAGATCTGAGTTGGTATCTCTGTATCCTCTTTTCCTCTTTCCTCACCACCCACTCCCAGCCCACGGTCACGTGATGATGGCTGCAGGAGTCCCAGAATTGTGTCATCGCCCAATGGCTTCCAATGCAGGAAAGAAGAGGCGGAGCTCTCCTCGCAAGCAAGCCTCCTGCTTATAAGAGAGGAAACCATTTTGCCAAATCCATCCCCCCGCCCC